TCATAGCATTTTCAGGTAAAGGGATGGAGTTGGAGAATATAATGCCAAGTTAGCCAATCCCCCCCAAAAAATGCTGAATGTTTTCTTTGATATAAGGAGGCTGATTCATATTGGGTTGGGAGGGGGAGCATGGGAGGATTAGACAAACTCTAGATAGGGTAAAGGGGTGAAAGGGGAAGTGAGGGGGCATGGGGGTAAAAAAGGTGGTCGAATGAGATGGGCATTATTACCCTAAATACATGTATGAAGACACAAATGGTGTGAATATACATTATATACAACCAGAGATATGAAAAATTGTGCTTTATATATGTAATATGAATTGTAATGCATTCTGCTGCCATATATAACAAATTAGAATAAAAAATTTAAAAGAAAATACAAAAAAATGTGATAAAGTAACAAAAGTCAGAGTAGCATAATAAAGGGACTAGTTTTGTGAGTCTGTTTAACTATATCCTGTGAGATGGCAAAAATATAGAAACAATGCACTCATTGCCTAAAACAGGCTATATCAATAATCTGAAAAGTTTTCTTGACATTGCTTTTCTCTGGCAAAATTAATTTTCAGCTGTACTCTATATTGTTACCACATTTGTTTATATAGATACTAATTAATAAATTTCCACTGGAATTAAAAATAAAAAGAAAGAAATGCCAACCCATTTCTAAATGTAGGCATTGGTAGAAAGAGGGAGAGGTGGAGAGCAGCAGGAAAGCCAGACTCATGTGTCCCACAATGCTTTATTTGAGTTGGATTTGGTCAACTCATTAGGTTGGTAAGAGATTTGCCACCCTTTCTCATGCAGGTCCCTGGGACAACCCTCACAGACTTAATGGTGTAGTGTGCTTAAGCAGAAAAAGGTCCTGAGGTTTTACTTTTCAGGATCTCTTCAGTTCCTGTGTCGGTCAGATGTTGAATGGAAGGTCAGCCCATTAGACCCCACAAGTGAGGTAACCTTCAAGCCTATGGGGCTGGATTCTACAACCAGCAGAGGCAGGGGGAGTCAGGTCAGCTAGGGTTAACCCCAGGATCCAACTGAGCCAAGAGAGAGACCAGGGTCTGAGGAACACAGCAGACTCCACTGCACACTGGAGGACAGGAGGCACTTCAGGGAGGCCAGAAGAGGGAAGGGGCGTGCAGCAGGGGCAGTCAGCACCTCCCTTCTGCATCATGTCCTGTAAAAGAACACCCTGCATCCCCTCTTCCCTAGCTCCCCATAAATGTGTGTGCTAATTTTAGAACCCAAACAGAGGAAGGAAATCTGAAAAGGTGAACATTTTGCTGTTGATTCTGAGCATTGCCTAACTCAGAATTGTTTCAGATATTGGATTGGACAGAGTTTCAAGATATTATACATCTAATTTTCTCACTAGCAGTTCAGGATTCATAAGGACAAAAGAATAACAACAATCTTCTCTCTTTTATGCTTAATGAGAGTTTAACTTTCTCCCCACCCCCAACACACACACTTATTCATATGCTTGGTTGTTTAATTCCCACCTCCCTCACTAGAATGTCAATCCCAAAGGGCAAAGACTGTCTTTTTGCTCCCTGCTCTGGCTCCAGTGCGTGAGAGCAGGGACATCCCTCAATCTCTATGTTATCTCTAGCACCTAGAACAGCTCCTAGAATACACTAAGCACTAGTTAAACATTCTTTATGCTGAATTTTGCTTATAACACTTTTTGTGGATTAATAAATCAATGAAAGAAAGGAGACTATCAGGTAAAAGGATGCCTGATTGATGATTTCTGTGGCTGTGGATTAACAAACAGAATCAATGAGATTCTACAATGTAGTAGATTACTAATGGAATCATTATTGCACATGATATTTTTGGACACATAGGACTTAAGGAAAAAAAAACATTGCATGTGTGTAGTGCTTTAAAGTTTACAAAAGGCATTTATATATTATACCACTTGATTCCTTCAACAGCCCTATAAGACAGGTCAGCTATATTAATATTTATTTTGTAGATAAGCTAACTGATTTAAAGATGAATGAACTAATCTGAGGTCTAAGGCGTGGAAATCAGCAGAGTCAGGTTTTCTGTCTCCAAGTTCATCAGACTACGTAGTAATGGCCAGGACAGCTGACCAGGAGACTGATCAGGAGACCAGTGAGGAAGGTGCACTGGGTACAAGCATGTTATTTTCTTCCAGTGATGCTAATCAGAATTTACCAGCATTTGAAGCCCCCTGGAGGGCATAGGAAGGCTGACAGTGAGGAGAATGTTCCAGGGAAGCATTTCTCCTATGAGGTGTGTCAGTCTCAATGTCAGCCAAGGTGGTCAACCAGGGGTGGCACTACTCCCAGGGTTATGCTTCTAGGGTTATGGGGGGGGGGGGCAGAGTCCTCCTCTCTAACTACACACAAAGAAAGGAATGAGCAGTGTTTCTCTGTGTCCCAAAAATTGTACCATAAAAGTGCAATTTTGTTTTGTTTTGTTTTAATTTGGACTGTAATTTAAGATAAATCTTTAAGCCCTTGCTTTGAAGCAAGGCTGGAGGCACCCTGAGTAAGGGGAACCTTGGGGGAGGGAGACCCTTCCCTTCTTCACCCAGGAGGCTTCATTGCTAGTATCATCACCAGCCTGAAGCTGAGATCCAAAGCAGGCACAGGTGTCCTAATCCTGGCACTACCCAGACTGTCCTCACAGTGGCAGTGTAGTCTCAATTAGCAGATGCTTGTCAACTGTGTGGAGGAGGACATAGTCGTAGCACTGCTTACCTAGGACACAGCATCCAGCCTGGGCCCTGTGCAGATGAATGCTTGACACCTCTGCAGGGCTCCTATCACTCATTCACTCATTCTTTCCTTCATTTTGTGTTTCCTAACAGCCATGCATTGAAGGCAAATATGTGTAGGTGCTCAGGTACTTAGGATACAAAGATTAAAAATACAATAATAATTTACATCATGCCTTCAGACCTCTGGGGGCTCAATGCTGAGTGAAAGACAGATTTGAAAATAGCAATTGCCATGTTACCATGGTTAATACTTAGCACAGTAATGGAGAGAATGAAGTGTTGTATGATGCAGAGCAGAATGCTTCAGATCTCAGCTTAAATGTGGCCTGCAGGGGAGTGCTGCTCCTGGCCCCTAGACCAGTTATGTCCCTGTTATCTGGTATCTCATATCCTTGTACTTCCTGTCTTGTAAAAGTCCACTCACTGTATTACTATCCTTTGTTTACTTCTTTCTGGATAGATGCAGTAAGCTACTCAAAGATAGAGACTATTTCTATATTGTTCCTTACTACATCCCCAATACTAATCATAAAGTCTGGCTCACAGTAGGTACTCCGTAAATGCCATTAAAGATTAATGAAGACAAAATGGTTCCATGACACCTCAAGTGCAAGGAATGTCATATGTCTTTATTTTTCTAAATCAAATAAAATCTCAGTTTACCAAGATTAATAACAAGTCCCATATTAGTTTTAAATTTTCTTTCCACCTGTATGGATCATGCCCAAACCCCAGGGTATAAGTAGTTGAGGAAAACAAAAGGTCAAGGACCATGGCCTTTATCACTTCCTCTTGTGCAAGGGAGATTGAGCTCTGGTCTTGAGCTACTAGTTGCGCTAGTTGCACTGGGCACTACAACTGCACCTCTCACAGAAACCCCCCTGACTCCTCTAGCTGCAGATCCCATATAAATCCTGCCCCCTCTTGACATTGCCAGCAAGTGGTATCCAGGTGCAAGGTGAAGCCCAGAACACATGGCCACACTTCAGTCCCTGAGAAGTCCTCTCCAGGTAGGGCTACTTGACACTTTCCATACTCAAATCCCCTCCCCTCTTTGTGGCAACTGTCCAGGGAGGAGGAGGGGAAAATACTTTCTGAAATAATACTAAAAAATTAACAGTTTCAAAAAGAAAAGTGCAAACTAATTCTCAATAACTTCCCTTGTTCCTAAATTAATACATGTATGTTTGTGTGGAGGAACTTTTTCTGAGAACATTCCATATTTCTGTCTTAAGGTACCTGAACTTCTATAAGTCAACAAGCCTCCATTATTTCTGCACTAGTGACTTTATTTGAGTCTCAAAAAACAGTCACATAACATTTTGAAATTGAAAGATTCCTGACACCTAGTATTTTCTATGTTTAGGTATGTTCAGATATACAGAGACCTACCATTCATTATGTTGCAATCACCAACAATATTCAGTTCAGTAACATGCTGTACAGGTTTGTAGCCCAGGAGTAAAAGGGTTATCACACACATAGCCCTAAGTTTGTATAAATACACTCTGCAATTTTCCCACCATAATGAACATGCCAAACAATGCATTTCTCAGAACTTACTCCAGGCTTTCAACAACACAGAATTGTGCCCACATCCTTGTGAGACTAAACAGAGATGATGACTTTAAAAGCACCCTGGGACCTAGAAGTACTATACAAATATATTGTTATTATCAACTGGTGATTTCTATATTTCACAGCCAGAGGAGAAATGACATGATAAATTGCCCTTTGGGGTCCTTTCCAATTTTCCCACATTTTAATTTATTTTTTTCCTAAAAAAAAAATATATCGTTCAGCTATCCATTATTTTAGGATAAGGTACTATGTACTACTTTTTTTAAAAAATCCATGCATTGCTACCTTTTCTTCTCCTTACTGGCCTCAAATGTGAATTGAAGCTCTGAGGTATTCAAACTGAAACCACCTGTAAGGGGAGCAGACAACAGACTTGATTTTAAATTCTACAATTTCATGACTTATCAAATTCCTTCATGCCAATGACTGCAAATCCCTGGTTTCTCCACTTTTCTTCCAGTTATTTGGATAACATTTATTTAGCACTATTCTGTATGAAGTATCATTCTAAGCATTTCTTATATTTAATAATTGCCTACAAAAAAAACCATTTAATGTTCTGCTCACCTCAGAAATTTTGCACATCGGATTTTTCTCTCAGCGTCTCCCCACCCATGTCTATCTTCACCACGGTAACTTTGTTCAGAGCCCCAGTTACTTACATTTTCTCTGCTTTATCTCAGTGCCATTGGACAACTTGGTGCTGATGCCCCCACTTCCATGTCAAGGTTCTTGACTGTCACTCTGCTTATTGCATTTATATTGTTTGCTAGAGGAGAGCGTTCATAAGCCTTGAGATAAAACAGGAGAAACAGGGGAGTGAGATAAAAAGCAGCAGGATAAAATCCCAGAGAGACACAAACTACAGTGAAAATTACATGAAGTTTGACCTGCTTTTTCTATAGCTGAGGAAATACCAGTTCTGAACTTGGTAAGCATGGACTAAATTCTGAGGCAGATATTCAAGCTGAATATATGCTTTGACATTGCATAGAGAGAGACAGTTTTATTTTGATAAAAGTGGGCCTCCAAAGTCCAATTTGTAGGGTACCCTCTGACACCATCACCCAAGTCATTCCTTGCTTTCTTTGTCTGAAAACTGACCTGATCCCCTTTTTTTATTGAGCATGACTACCAATTCATAGTTTGGCATACATGGTCATTCTTTACAATGTGACCTTTTTCTGTAGTCATGACTTTCATAGACAAGGAAGGTGCCTGACCCATGCTTTTGGAACCAGGACTGGAAGGAAAATTTCTTCCTGCCTTCCTATAAAACTTGGGAGCAGTGGGCAGATGAAAGAAAGAAGGAAAGAAAGAAAGAAAGAAAGAAAGGAAGGAAGGAAGGAAGGAAGGAAGGAAAAGTAGCACTAACTTTAACATATGTTGAGCCCTGCCATGGGACAAGCACAGCTTAGAGTACTTGACAAACATCAAACCTGCCCAAGGTGAAACAGTGGCCAAAAATTCTGGCTCCAGCTTCCTCATGGCCTCTTTCAAACACTCTCTCCCTCCTACTCCAGTGTTAATCACTTCTAAAATCTATATTGTCTTTGACTGGTTTGAACTTTATGTGAATGGAATCATACTTCTTGCATTCTTTTGTGTCTGACTTCTTTTGCTTGTGAAATTCCTCCATGTGGTTTGATACAGTTGGGCTTTCCATTGTATGAAATGATGTATAGTCTTCCATTGTATGAATAGAACACAATATAGTAATCCACTATACTATGATGGACATTTGATTGTTTCTAGTTAGAGCTTTTTATGAATAGTGCTACCATAGATATTACTGTTCAGTTTTCTGCAAACAAGTGCATAATTCAGGCAGGGTTTATATCTGGGAACATAAAAGGAGACCTTTCAACACAGATGGCAGAACTTTGGGCAGGTAGAAGTAGGACATATTTGAAACGAAGATCATAGAGGAAACAACTCCTCACAAGGAGGATGTGTTTAGGCTATAATTCTACAGAGATTAATTCCCCACTCAATTTGGGGAAGCTTGTACAATCCCTTTTCTTGGAGAACAAGATCTTCTGCAGAAGGTATTTATGTACAGAGAGCATTTGTATCAGAGTAATTCATATTTGAGGGCCACTAAACCCACCATTATTTGGGCTCCTATCATAGTGAAAAAACATAGATTAGAAGGGTGGACATGCACAAGATGGAATGTGTGGAGCTATAGTTCAAAGTCAGAGATTTCAGTCATCACAAGCACCAAGCAAGCCTGAGGACTCTGCAAACAAGTGTAACTGCAGGGAAGTGATTCCTCTACAGTGGGCTGGGATGGAGCTGCACTCAGGTGAAATGTAGAAGAGTAAAGTCTAACTGTTGGATGGGAGAAAATGAAGAAACACCAGGTGGGTACCAGCACAGGCAGGCTGCTGGGCATGGTGGCTGAGGCACTGACCAGGTTTCTCCTACCAGAATGTAAGGCCCATGATCTAGTCAATGCCCCCCACCCCAGCATTTAGTCAGGACTTTGCAGAATATGAACCAAGAATGCTGGTTAGGAAGGATTAATTATACCAACACCATAGTTAATTATTTGCAGTAAATATATTCATGTGTAAGTACTACTAAGAACTGTTTAATTCATTTTGAGGGATTAAAAGGAATAATTATGCCAGTCACTGATTAGTAACTATAAATAGGTGAGTTACCAGCTCAACTAGCAGACATTCTAAATCTCCTTTCCTCCATTAGTCTCTGCATAATCTTTTAAAGGCAAGTGACTTTGAATAGCTGACTTGTTGTCTTTTTCCTTTTGTGGTTTTAATTAATTATTTTCTTCTAAATAGTACCGTTATCTTCAATGTCCACTGATAAGAATCACTTCCACTGATAAGTAAAAATAAGAACTTTCTTCTGAAAAAAGAGAGAGAGAAAAACGTGTCACAGTAGATTGGGTAGAAAGAGGGGAGGGGAGGGGAGGGGGGGATAGGAAGGGCAGCACAATACAATAGACACTAGTATGGCCCTATGTATAAACGTGGCTGTATAACCAATGTGATCCTGCAATCTGTACACGTGGAAAAATAAGATTAAGATTACGTACCCCATTTGAATCAAATGTATGATATGTCAAGATCATTGTAATGCTTTGAGCAACTAATAAAAAATTTATAAAAAGAATTAAGGGCCTAATTAAGAACTTAGATTCATATAGGTGTCTTATAGATCTGAAATTGGGCCAATACATTCCCATTTTTAATCTACTCAGCCAAACCTCGGAAGTCAGTGAGTTGACTCATATTTATAGGTTTTTAGAGATACACTAGGGAAATATTTTTATATTAACAGATTAGCAGTTTTCCACTTAATGCAATGAAATTCACTTGGAAAAAATAAATAAGATTTTTTTGTGAATATTTATTGTGTATTTATAGGTTTTTAATATATAAAATACAACTCAGGGGATCCCAAGATGGCAGAGTAGAAGAAGCAGGCATTTCCAACTTGCTCTGCTATTTGGAATTTGAACACCAGGAATACTGCTTCATAAAGAGGGGGGTTTCTGAAGAAAATCTTGACAAATTATTATTTGGCTATCAGAAATTCAGAGAAGTCTAGAGATTCTGGTGTAGTGAATGGAGGGTATAAGGAAACAGCTGAGCCTGGCAAGGACAGTAGCACTGAGTCACTGCAAAGTGAAGAAGAACACAAAGGAAAAGGAAAACACAGCGGAAAAATTTGGCAAACAAAATGTGCTCAGTGTTTCTCAACTTCTAAGTGAAGAACTGAGGTGGAGATACAGCTTAAGGAATTTATGCCAAATCTTGTTCCTATAGGAACCCAACAGCCCTTAGCAAATTGTTCCACTCTGTCTCAGCCAGTGCTTACTGCATGCACATAGTGCACCTGGCAAATCAAAGAGTTATAGAGTAGAGTGGATCAGGGGGATGCAAGACAGACATACAGGACAGTGCACTGAGACTTTGAGTCCAGTGACATGTGATTGACCAGCAGAAAAAGCATTGAAAATTTCTGGACACATATGATTACACTGGGGACAGGATGGTGCAACCTGATTTCCTTTTAAGCTCTGTGGCAAGAATGACCAGCTGAAAAGAATTAGGAGAAATTGATCAGGTGGGCGTGATTACATTTGGGGATGGAGACTTGGAAATTCATATTTGGGTGAAGGGTGGGCTACCAGAAACCTGCTATGCACTATCCACCCAGAGATGCTTATCACCCCATGATTAGAGCTTTAGGGAGACAACACAAACCCAGATGCCCACCAAGATTTACATCTACTCAGCCCAACGGGTAAAAAGATTTAAGTACTCTGGAGTGCATGCCCCAAACAAAGGCCCAAACTTTCATTTAGAATACCCCAGTAGCCAGAACTTCCCAAATAGATTTCAGCAACACTTCAATTAGGAAAAGCAGCAATCTAAGATGTCCAGATAAAATTCCTATTAGTAGAAGGTACTTCCAGTTCCATCCCTCCTTGACTGTCCAGCAGAGAAACTGAGAATCATTTCTACTGGCAACACTTCTTATCTATCTACTCCAGTAGGTGAAGTGCTGAAAATCACAAAAGGAGCTTGGTTTCATATCATGCACTCCTGGCTTCCTCTAGAAGGCACTTAGCCCAAGAAATAAGGGACAGAAGGACATACTGGAATAGGATGTGAATTCAGCTACCTTAATGGGAAAATAGCATTTTTAACTAAGGTTTTTACTTTTTCATTATTAACATTTTTTTAGTTGTTATTCTGACTACATTTGCTAATTTGTTTATAAATATACATATACATATGTTTGGGGGTTTTTTCTCTTTTATCATTTATTCTTCTTTTATTAATCTTTTACTGTTTTGCTCTGTTTTTCTAAGAATTAGTGAGTTTTAATTGTTTGGAAGGTTTTGTTTTTATTTTTGTTTTTTAAATAGAGGGCATTGATGTTGTTCATCTGTATGTACTTGCTTGTTTAATTAGTCTTATTATCCTCATCTCTCCTTCTAATAGCAAAAATCTTGCTCTCTTCTATTTCTTCACTTTCTCCCTTCATGCATGACCTTGCTCCCATTTCCTCTCTTCTTGACTTTTGAATGGTCCAACCGTCCTTTTGCCTTCAAAACCAAACTGCTTTACTCTTAATGAACTACAATTTTAACATTCTTTTAATTCATGTAGTCTATCCCTGTGAGTAGTAAGGTGGTTCAGAGGAAGCCACATGATCATAGCAGCTCACCAAGAATGAATCAAAACAGGGATTCAGCACCAGAAAAATCAATCTACAAAGCTAAGAATTCTTTCACTTGAAACAGACAAACTAAGCTCTGGTATTAGGAGTCTGGCTGACACAGGAGGTGTGGCAGGCTGAGACCAATTAAATTCAGACCAAATCTGATGAGCCCTGAGTCACCTCTTCCAGGCCTAAAAGGGCTGGAGGATAGGCTGACATGTTCTACTCTCCTTCCCCCAGCACGTGGTCTGAGACTTACAGAAACAGGAGGCAGGCATCAGAGCTGTCCAGCCAAGAAGGGAGTGAAACCCTGTAGAGAAACACTACACAGAAACTCCCCTAACAATCTTGACCACTTTGAACTGAGACTAAGGAAAGTGCACAAAAACTGAAACCCCAGAAAGAAAACACCGGACTTCAAAAGCCTGACCAAGAATAATAGATTAGTAGGCCGTTGAAGAATTTCATTAATAAGTTTTCAAAAGATATATTAGGATAAGGCATTGTTCTGAAGTGACTGTCATTACTGGAAATTAGTATCTCTTTTCAATGTGGTATTAGAGATTGGATATAGTAACAATACAAGTTG